TCATCGGTAGAGCTAGCTGCGTGGCGTATATGAAGTCGAGGAATAGAGGTTGGGTCCGGGGGATGCTGGAGTGAAATATGAAGTCGGAACCTTGGCGGACGGGGTGCGCTCTTAGACCGAAACAAATACGAATTGTAAAGGGAGTGACGATGGAAAAGTGGAGACTTTATAAGAAGTAGTAGCTGAAGTGTTGGTTGCACCGAGCACTCAAATCTGACACGTTTCATCAACTACTTCAAGATCTCTGTTTTCTCTTCAAACGTAGATTCAGTTATGAACGCTCTTATGCTTGTCTGCTTATTCGTTCGCTTTCATTCGATTTTTAAATGAGCTTTATATCATTTTATGACTTACTGTTCTAGATTTTCTTTTCATAGGAACTAACTTGGCACTTATGAAGCCATCTGTAAAGGCGACGCACGTGATTTTTGATGTGGATGGCACTCTCCTGGATACCGAAATCTGTTACACTTTGGCCAATCGGGCAATGTTGGAGAAATATGGTCGTGAATTCACAGCTGACATGCAAGCACGTCTGTGGATTCTTGATATTGAATTAATTCTCAAGACGAGTGGTGTTAATATTTTGTTACAAAAAGTCTAAGAATTGCGAAACGCATTTCGGAATGATAGAAAATTTTAGTAAATGCGCGTATACTGTTCACTTCATGCAGTTTATATGCTTTATCCCTATGGGGAGAAGGAGATGTTCTTCAATGAAGGCTTGTTCTTTATAGAGATGATGGGAAGAAGCGGCCAGGAAGCTAATGCATGGCTTCTAAAAGAAGTGAGTCATTTCGTATTCCTCCTTGGCTTTTCTTTTGTACATCTTTTGAACGTTTTAACAACTTCTTGAACTCTAAATTGTTCTTACCCTTACTCTGGTTTCTGTATTCAAAGGTTGGCCTTTCTGACAAAATTTCTCCTGAAGACTTCGGAGTCGAAAAAGATTTTATGCTTGCTGAGATGTTTCCTAAATGCCGAGCTTTGCCAGGTGCTGAGCGTCTTGTTCGGCATTTTGCTAAGAAACGTACGAATCTTCATTGCTTATTGCAAATTTTCTTTTCTTATATACTGTGTTTAGAAGTTCCAATGGCAATATGCTCAGGCTCTTCCTCGCACAAATTCGAATTGAAGGCTACTAAGCACCATAGTTGGTTGGATCTAATTCCTATAAAGGTATTCGTTAAACATCGTTGGCGAAGTTTCTCGGGGATTCATTCAATCCATCTTTAGCTGAGACTGCTGCACACTTTAGCACGTGTATGGGGTTGGACACGCAGCAATCGAGTTGAGTGCGAAAGTGACTGGGAATGGCGCGACCCCGCGTTTTGTCGCAACGACCCAAATCTGTTAGCAAATTTTACTCGGGATTTATGTATAGTATGTGAATCATCTTTAGGGTGGCTAAAAATTTTGGTCCGGTGTTTATTAGCATGTAAAAACAAGATGCACTTCTTCAAGAAATTTTATCGAATGGTAAGATCTAGATACAAGTACGGTTACTTGAGGTACTGCGAAGTGATTGCCTTTGGTCAGAATGCAAGCTTCCACTCTTTAGTGGAGGCTTCCACGGTAGGCCGTAGGTTGTTGACATCAGTCTTCTGCCTTTCCCTCTGAAGCCCTGCTTTAAAACCTGCGGTGGGGAGAAACTTCCTGCTGCAGATAGCTCCAAACGGAATGGTCCATTGAATTGAGGTCTGGGGAGTTAGGTGGCCACATTTCTTTGTCCCAGAACCCAGAAAAATGACGTTGGCAGAAGGAAATCGTAGATTTTGACCCATGTGCTATCGCCCAATTACTCGACAGAGGCCCATCACGCGGTATTAAGGCGGAGTCAGCGATGAGTCCCGCGCGCTCTGTGTGACCGTAGCAACGGTGCATTCTATTTGTCCTGTACGCTAAATACGTCCAGACGCGTGCGCCTCCGTCGTTGACCTCTGCCTCTCGCGCGCTCAACGGACCAAGCGTCTGTGGTACGCTGGGCGGAAACGACGACCGAGGGAACCCCAGCCGGGCACCTCAGCTCATCTTGCCAAATCCAACACCATTCTGTCGCCTCCCCACAACGTCGTTTCGATCGGAGCCACCACGCGCATACAATAAAAACTACCCAGACAAACATTCTGATAAGCTCCCGGATCGATTTTGATGTTTTCATCAATAAAAACGAAGTGTGTCCTGCTTTTTGATGTTGTCCAGCTCAAACCATCACGACTCCGAAAGCAGGCTCCTGTTTTTCATTCGTCGTTTTCTGGAGTTTTTCTCTGCCAATCAAAGCAATTGCCGCTGGTTTTGGCTGAAGTGCGGACCTCGACCGTGAAGATTTTCTCGTCAGTCTAGACGACGTCGAGAGGTACCCATCATCCTCTGTCTCCAAAGAAGGATAAAGGATAAAGGATAAAGCATTTGCCGTTGATCAATCCCTTTTTGGGATGCGGCACGCATTCTACTTCCATTTGTACATTCGTAGTGGCGTTTGAATGCGATGTGGCCTATACAATGACTTGCGGGGGCCAGCCGTACCAATTAACCGACCCCGGAGGGATGGAAGGCTTGGTTGGCCCGGGCGACTCACGACCCAAGGATTGATTCCTGGGCCGAGAGTGCCACTTGCTGCTACATCAATGCCGCCCGAAAAAAAGCGATAACTGTGCAAATCCAGTTCAAATTTCACGATGTTTTGAACGCTTCTTAGTGAAACGCGCAGATCCAAAGTGATGCCGTTCATATAACCTCGTCCGTGGTGAGGGTTCTCTTTTTGATCATCTTCCAAATCCGAGGAACTTTAGCAATTCTTGGTCGGGCTGTTTTTGGAGGTGATAGGAAGTGTCCTCGCTCTCTACGTCGAGCTACATATCTTCTTACTGTTCTGGCGTTGATGTGCTGCCTTTTTGCTATTTCCGTGGCGGAATCCTTGGTCCACGAGAGAGCGATGTTAGCACCATGAAGACATGGTCGCATTTTTCGAGGATTTCGTACCGACGGTCGTGATAATCTGGCAGACGTGCATAACTGACATGCTTTATCTAGAGCAAGCGACGTGTGAATTGGCGTACAATGTTTTGTAGCCACTATGTACAAGTGAGAGAATAGTAGCCCAGGAGTAGCTAATTAACTAATTTATGGCACGAATCCGCTCGGAGGTCGAGTGAAAGGACCCGCTGCTGCTATGGCGTGGCCATCCAAACGGGATTCGAACATTCGAGCGATGTGCCAGCGTCGCACCCCTCGTATCACTAGCTAGTGATTGGTCGCAAAGTCTGACATCTTCCTAAACGTTCACTTGCTAGGCAACGTAGTGCCGTAAACCAACGACCCAAACCCGAGCATTTATATCGAGTGGGATGAGACTACACATCACCATGCGCTGGGAACTCATGCGTGAATCACAAATGCCGGTCAACTTACCCGCCTTTCTAAAAAATGAGTGTCGGGCTAGGGGCGAGCACATCCGTTCGACCCATACAGTTCATATCTCGAAGTCTGATTAGGCGTGTCTATGGTTTGACGTGGCGGCCGCCGCACTTGATAGAAGTTGCGCGGATAAGCTGCTTCCAGCATGCTTTGCTGATATCCAGCGGAGTATGTTAGAAACAGCTATCCACACGGCTTCTATCAAGTGCGGCGACGGCCACGTCAAATCCATAGACACGCCTAATCAGATTTCGAAATATGGACTGAATCCGGTTGCACAGTCGCGACGTATGAAACGATATGGCAGTGCTCCGATATTCACACAAGTTGAGAGAGGAGCGTTTCCACAATGCAATCAAACCGTGCAGCACGACGGCCCCCACTCCCCCGCCTTTGCATAAGCGCGCTAATGATGTTTTACGGCGTTAGAAGTGACAGCAGTATAAATTACTGTGCAAAGACTGAAAAGGGAGAAAGTTTCGTCATCATTAATGGATCATATTTACCGTATAGGTATCAATTTTACCCACTCGCTGCTTCTGGTAGTTATGCACTGTACTTTGCAGGTGCTCTGCGGAGACGATAAAGCAGTCAAGCGCGGGAAACCATTTCCGGATTGTTTTCTCGAAACCATGCGAAGGTACGATGACAATTTCCTCGTTTCTGAAGAATCTCCAAGAATTGATGCTCGGTTATCCAAAACAAAAATGTTTTGACACTATGGTACTTAGGTTAGGAGGGGGTGGGGTGGGCATCATGACTCAGTAGTTTATTCCAGCAACGGTAACCCAATTTTTCGCTGGGAAAGGGAGCTACAGGATGTGTGAATCATTTTGCTTCTGCAACAAGAGCTCAAAACATGTGAAGTGGAACTTTCGATCGTGGTCTGGGAAGCTTTGATAGATTGTCCACCTGCTATACCGTTTTCCCGTCCTTCCTAGTGCACTTGCCCATGTTTAATATGTAAATCCACAAAACTAAGAAGTCGCCAGCTTTACAGTCTTGTAAAGATTCTGCATGTCAGAGTAGCGGCGCGGTGTATGTTCAATCTTGTTTCGCTCGTTGTTCCTGTTTCCGGCTTTGTGTTGTATTGTTCAGCGCTGCGCTGCCGTTCTCCGTTCTGAAGCTGAGTAATTTTTTTGTTCTTCAAACATGCGTTAGCGCAATTCTCTGTTAGTAACACCCTGAATTGCGAAGTAAGATTCCGCATTTTTCAAATGTTGAAATTTTTAGGTTCCCGATTCCTCCCACCTCTCCCAATCAAGTGATAGTCTTTGAGGATTCTCCCAACGGAGGTAAGGGTGCTAAGGCCGCAGGAATGCTGTGCGTAATGATCCCAGACCCGAAATTTCGCCAACGGGCCGTCGACCTTAAGTAGGTTTATTCAGTTTTTTTGCTTTGCGTGTCCATGTCCTTATATAAGACATACAGTAAGCGTATGCGCCTTTTTCTTAATGCTTTTGGTTTTAGTGTAGACAAAATACTATCAAGTCTGGAAGATTTTGTTCCGGAGGAGTTCGGCTTACCGTCATTCGACTAGTCTAACCTCACTATTATATCGTGTAATGTACGCTGCAAAAGCGAGTTAACTTGACAGGGATCTTATTATATACTCAATTCAGTTACGAGTTATTCTAGCCTTTCTATTCTATTCTAGGTACTGTAAAGTTGCAGTGCAGAACGTGTAGTGGTTTTATATGAGACTTGATCTCCATTGTAGTCGTTGATGATTTGAGTAAGCTTTTAGAAAAGAATTTATTTTATTTTGCTTTTCTTACGCTTTGCTGCTAATTGGGTTGCAATCTCTCTGCTAATCTTCACTTTCAAGTCATATGTGATTCTGCTGTGCTAGCATACCACTTTAACGATGTACTAGGTTAAATTATCTTCTAGGGAGCAACACTCGTTGTTTGCTTGGTGTTGTCAAGCTAAACTATATATTTTGTCGAATGAAGTTTCCTTTGCATAATTTGCCAAACTTTTCATGATTTCATTAAGCGCCATCACACGCAGCTAAAACTTGCTTCATGGAAATGTTTAACTATTCACGACCACTTTGGCACCATTGAGATGCTGTGCCGAATATGTGAATATACGAAAGCGCAAAAGGTAGTCTATTCGGTGCAATCATCTGATGTAGAAATGTGCTTGACGCAGTGGAACCCTACAGAACCCCAAGATCAGTACTTGCAAGGTGTGACGTCAACGTGGTCATTGTAACACATGAAAAATTTTCATGATGCTCACAACCATCACCAGCTTGCAGTGGTAATAAGGCCTTCTTCGCCGCCTCCCTATCACAACCCGCTACCATGAATGTTCCTGTTTCATTCTGAGATCAGGAGGGTATACATCACCATTTGAGAAATTGAGAAATTCTAATAATTCCGTCCATTTCATGCGTTTCATGAAACCTCTATCTATAACGACTTTCCCCAATCCCCCTCCCTACTTCCAAATCAATCCTCCACTACCACCACCACCACTCGTTCTAAGAATCTCAAATACGGTTGCCGGGTCTAATCCACCAAGGTCAAGTGGTGCTTGCCTACATTCCAATTCTTGACGAGGAGGAAGTCCCCAGGTTCCGTGAGCCATGTCGCTTCCGCTTTACACGCTCGCAGGACTTCCGTTCTTATTCGGACGAGGGTGTCGGTTTGTGGGAGGGCGTAGTTGGTGTTGTGCAGGGTTAATTATCTCTGGACGAGTACGAACGGAGCCGCATTTTCGAAGTCGAAGAGATCGCGTTGTGAGAGAGGGGATCGTTTTCTGACAGTTAACGCGGGTGCCTTTAGCGTTTTTTCACGCACAGAGCGGTCAATATAGATAAAACTGGTTGGAACATGCTGCCTTCATATTAGCCGGATTTACACTGGCGTGCGTGTCTGGCAACAGGGAGGAGGTGGGGTCGGCCCTGGGAGAGCCTTGCTTGATACTTATGGGTGGTGGACGTGGAAGTGATGTCGATGCGAGGATCTCTTCGAAGGGGAAGGAATGGTCACGTGGACCCATAATAGTTGAGAAGTGTGACGACGAGCTCATGGGTTGACTGGCTGCAAATACTCATCGACGGTGTGGGTGGCTAGCTATGGTGCGTGGCGTTTCGCTGCGAGGGAGATCGCTGTTTGCCGCAATGTCTGGATGATTTTTCACATTACCTATGAATTGGAGTAGAATGTGGAGTGGTGATTGAACGGGTTCTTTGTTCGCGTTGTTTAAATGAATTGAACACTCAAATGGAAAGAGTTTTACCGTAATTTGGGAACTGCTGTTTCTGAATTCAAAAATCTCATAATTGGGTACATTAGTACAAACTTGGTAGAATTCATATAGCGTTGTGTTTCCTCATAGGTCGAGCCGTTGCACTCATCAGTATCACGCATTACGGTTATAACCTTAATCAAATATTTACCAAACATTGTTTGAAGTTCGCTAGGTGCTGCACAGACGGTAATTATAAACGCCATGCCTGATCTCTCTTGGAAGTTGACCTTTGAAATGGTCATCTTTGAGTCAGAGGTCTGTCGAACACCACAGGAGGGGAATCATCCTACTCAAGATCACCTTTATATGCCGTAGTTGTTTGTTTTCGTTCGTCCTTGGTGATCTTTCTCCATTCTTCTGCCCTATTCTTCCTCCTGGTCTTCATCTCATCTACCACCTAAATTACTCTTATACATACCTCTATAGTTTATGAGAAACGGATTGGTTCCTGATGCCCCATTCACGCTCAACGGAACGAACATCACCGAATGCTCCAGCTACGTGTACCTAGGTCGGGAAATCAATATGATGAACGATCTAGCTCCAGAGCTGAGCAGGAGGAAACGAGCGGCTTGGGGAGCGTATAAGAACATCGAGGGAGTAGTGAAGAAGACGAAGAACATCCGGCTCCGTGCCCACCTCTTCGATTCCGCTGTCCTTCCTGCCCTAACCTACGCCTCAGAGACTTGGACTCTGCGCAGGCAGGACGAGCATGCGGTCAGCGTTATCCAACGCGCTGTCGAGAGGACGATGCTAGGAGTAACCCTATACACGCAAGTGCAGAGGGGAATCCGGAGTTCCGAACTACGCCAACGATCGAAGATCAGGGACGCTGCCGTTTTCGCCAAGGAATCGAAGATAAGGTGGGCCGGACACGTCATGCGATTTTGCGATGACCGTTGGACCAGAGCGGTTACCGACTGGATCCCTCGGGACGTCAAACGAACACCTGGACGACCGCCGGCCCGATGGTCAGACTTCTTCACGAAAGCTCTGAACGAAAGGAATGAAGGACTTCGTGTCCCTCGAGCGAGGAGGATCCACTGGACAACTCTTGCACGCGACAGGGACGAATGGAGACGTTGCTGGCGCCCGCTCGAGCAAATCGATGATCAACGGGACGACAGGTGATACAGGTGATACATACCTCTACGTATCCCTCAAGTGACACACTAGCATGCTATATCCCTCTCTTTCTTTTCACCCACAGCAGAAGAAATCCCATTCTTCTCCCCCACTCTCAGACTTCCCGCTCACTTGCTTTTGTATGACACTAATACCAACACCACAAACTCTTTATCTCAAACAATATTACACAATGGCTTAATGATGCCACTACTATTCCCACCATTCGCGAGTTCTGCTCGTGCTAGGGTTGGGTTCCGGCCTACTGGAGCTGGGCACATATGTAGTTAGCGACAGAACGCGCATATCATGTAACTCTTGACGGATCGAGCACCCTCCACAGCGCCCTCGACGACCACCTTGCCCTCCAAACATTCAGCATCCGCCAAAGGTTCCTTGTTCCCAAATCTGGATCCCGATGCCGTGGGTTCACTCGTTGTTGACGGCTGAACGCTGCTTGCAGATAACACTTTCGCCGTTTCTTTAGTTGGGGCCAGCAACGAGTGTGGTTCGCTAGGATAGCAAGCGACTTCTTTTTTCTTGGCGCGAAACTGTTGTTGGCTGTGGGAACCCCAGGTCCACCACTGTTCAGGCCGGCTATCCAAGTTTATTCGTAATCAGCATAAGCAAGGAATTGACGATAGAGAACAATCAACGGCAGCTGAAGAAATGAGAATGTATGGCGAGCTGAGTTGACGAAGAATCTCCTTGGAGCGTTGGTCCAGTCCGTGGGGGGTTGGCAGAGTTCGAGGTTTTCCCATTGTACATGTGAGCAAGAAAACCACGCGAGTCTCCTCACTCCTTCTTACAACGGCAACTTCCTTCTGAAACGCGTTTTGGCTGTCGATAACCTTCAGCTACTTGGGTCGGGTTTAACTTACCTACTGCTACGCATCCTAGTTTCTAGGAAGCGCTTCGCCTGTAGGTCTGTACGTCTAGAGCCCCGCCCACAGTGGGCGTGACGCGAGGCGAAATGAGCGGTGCTGACGACGAAGATTTCAGATTTGATTGACTCACCCGCGTTTCTTCCTTAGATTTCCGTGACGGATCGGGTTAAGTATTAGGTACCGGATATCTTAGTGTCGTTTTTTCACCACGAGTTTCGGACCACCAATATTTTAATTCAGAATCCGGGGAGTGAAACAGCATATTCATCGAATGACTCATTAGCACTTTCCCATTTACCAGTATGAGTGGAAACCTCGTACGATTAAAGCTAGGAATTTTTTGAGTCGAAAAAGAGAGGTAGGTCTTTTGACATCATCTGACCATTCATCCCTCTCACTTGCTAAAAAGTTAAGCTTAG